CCCCCCCCCGCCGTCATGAAACCTTAGGTTCTGTATTAGGGTGGAGCTTTTACAGCATGCCTAATGCAGTCCTCAGGCCGGCTTACTTCACTAGCTTACCCTGGCTTCCTACCCCGGTCTGGAGACAGACTGTCTCCTCTATGGGATAATTGTGTGTTTTACTTCCTTCTCTTATGCTTCTACCTACTTTGGTTATTTTAATTACATTTATTCATTAAAATGTGGCTCGAAGAGCTAGTGGAATCTAAAAGCTTTTTCCTCCAGCACTTTGTTTCCCTCTTGATACTGCTACTACAGAAAGTTGTACTCTGTAATAGTAGCTGAGGGCAAGGAAAAAATCATTTTACTCTAAGGATGATAATAGTTGTATCTTAATTGCTAGACAGTAACTGTCTCTTAGAGAACTGACTGAATACATGCAGTCTCTGAGTTATGAATGACTGGTTCCATAGGTTTATTCTTAAGTAGAATTTATATGTAAGTTGGAACAGGCACGTTTACCTATTACCTGTTATAACTCCGTTCATAAGTGCAAGTCGTACACAAGTCAGATGTTTGTACCTTGAAGGCTGCCTGTACTGCGTAGCTCCTGTCTGTGTCCTAGTTAACATCTGGCTATGCCCTGGAGATGCTGGAGGTGAAGAAGTTGAGCTAGGTTTTTTCTAGGTTTTGTTTGCAATATAAGCAGCTGCCCATTTAGAGAGACCAGCTGACCTTACAGAGGGCTTCTTGTGTTTGCCACCTTCCTTCACAGCTTGCTTTTTTTTTTTTTGAGACAGAGTCTCACTATGTCGCCCTGGGTAGAAAGAACTCCTTGCCTGAAATCCTAGCGTTGAGGTAGTACTGGGTGTAAATAATTCTTTTTTTTCCCTCTTAGTCCCACTTCAGATGGTGCTGCAGCGGCAATTTTGGCTAGTGAAGCATTTGTACAGAAGTTTGACCTGCAACACAAAGCTGTGGAAATTTTGGCACAAGAAATGGTGACTGATTTGCCAAGCTCATTTGAAGAAAAAAGTGTCATTAAAGTGGTATGTCTGAGATTCTGTTTTTTTTTTTTTTTTTTGACAGAGCCTCAAGCTATCCCCCTGGGTAGAGTGCCGTGGCATCACGCTCACAGCAACCTCCAACTCCTGGGCTCAAG